ATTGCTCAAGCTTAATATTCATAATATATAATGTCTCGCACATTTCAGGTTTTCGTTGTGTATATTAATGTTTTCATTTCTTAAATTCATGCTGCTGTAAAACTTTCCATAGATAGTGAGAACATTTAGGATTGAAACCAATTAATTTCTTATTTGTGAAGAAGTTTTTATATGTTTATTTGTTACACTTCATTTTGTTGATGCACATTTTACAGATTACAAATTTTGAAACTCATACATGTGTAACATTTGATTGATATTTTTACAGGTGAAAACTGGAGTAACAGCGATACTGCGAAAAGCAATCTAAAACGAAATGGAGCTTTTAATGAACCAAATGCAACTATGGAAGTTGCTCAGCTTATACTAAGTCTGTTACATTCGTGGGGTTTAGATCCAGATTTAGATCGTGTTTGTGAAGGAAAACTAGGTCTACTGAGACCCATGGTTCCTGTTTCATTTGGAGTATTGTCCAAAGGAGGTAAGATATTTAATATTTTTATTGCAATATTATTATATAAATACTTCAATTATCATTGTTTATTGTAGGTTACATGTCATTGCTACTACCAACTTGGCAGACTCAACTGGAACCTGTCGGTGAACCCACAACTCAATTAGAACAACGTTTGCCAGTTGAATTAGTTAGACAAGAGAGACTTACCAGAGCATTCACAGCAAGAGCACATTGGGAGTTATCTACCACATTAACTAGTAATCATTTATTGGCAGTAGTTGCTTTGGCAAATACTTTAATGTCAATGAACAATGCAACTTTTGTACCTGAACAAGAACGGAATCGAAAAATGCATAGGTTAGCGTTTTGTTGTAGAACAACTGAAATACAGAATAGATTTCATCTTTATATTTTATATAGGCCTGGTAATAGATCAGCAGTTAGCTGGAATAAGGCAGAAGAGGAAAATGAGGAAATGTATACAGCACAACAAGCACAGATTAAACAAGGTTGGTCCCTTTTAGCAACACTACATTGTGTGCTCTTGCCTGATAAAGTAACTGCACAAGGTGGTGCAAAGACATTCAAACGACCTCAAGTCGAAATGATGGCAAGGAGATGGCAACATCAGTGTCTCGAGGTTAGTTGCTAGTAAAGTAAATATACAGAATGAATTTAAACAAAGTGGTGATGATATTTCAGATTCGTGAAGCTGCTCAGGCTTTACTGCTTGCTGAATTAACTAGAATGGGCCCAAAAGGAAGAAAAACACTTGTAGACAGTTGGTCACAGTACTTACCAATGTATAGTACTCAAGAACCCATTGCACCACAAATTCAGAATCAAAGCCCTCCAGCATCTGGTAGTCCAGTACCTCCAACTGAATCACATCCAGAAGAAGAAGACGAAGAAGAGGAATTAACCGAAGGTATTTAATACGTTAAATTATTCTTACACAATTTCACTTTATAAACAAATATGCAAACTGTACATACTCATATCAGCAGAAATAAATACAGCTAGGAAACCTTCAAGTGTAGCAGAATTAAAAAGGAAGCAGACCACAGCGGTTGTATTATTAGGTGTAATAGGAGCTGAATTTGGTCAGGATGTTGCCACAATGATTCATAGAAGGGATAATGATCAAAGGCGAAAGAGTTCCATTGTAGAAGGTTTTGGAATAGGAAATAATGATCTTGCCAGGCATACCAGTATGGCACTTACGCATCTATTACATGCGCCACATTCGCCAAAATTGCCCTTACATACTGCTTTAAGAAGAGCAGCAATTGATCTCATTGGTAGAGGTTTCACCGTTTGGGAACCTTATCTTGATGTGTCAAAGGTCTAAATCAACTTTCACTAATATTACTTAATAATATATAGGTAATAGGTATTAATTTCATCCTTCAATAATACAGGTATTGTTGGGACTTTTGGAAATGTGCTGCGATGCAGATAAATTAGTACCAAGCATGACTTACGGCCTTCCGCTTACGCCCCAGGCAGATACATGTCGTACAGCTCGTCACGCTTTAACTTTGATAGCTACTGCCAGACCCGCTGCATTCATCACTACGATGGCACGAGAGGTGGCTAGATACAATACATTGCAACAAAATGCGCAAACGTTAAATGTAAATATGGGTGCAAGCGTGCTAGCTAAAGCAAAACCAGAAATACTCAGAATTGTTGAACAGCTAATCGATAAAATGCAAAGTGAAATGAGCGATCTTTTAGTAGAGGTAGGAATAGTATTATTCATTAAACTTAGGAAATTAATAATTTTATTATGTATTTAAAATATAATATAATCAACGTCCACAGGTCATGGATATTATTTTACATTGTTTGGACCCAGGTCATCTGAAAACCAAACCTTTAAACGATGTATTTCCAGCAGTGTGTAGATTTAATCAAGTAAGTCCATAAAAATTATTTATACTAAAATAATAATACATGCTTTTTTATACTTGCCTTTAATATTTGGTTTACAATGTTGTATTATGAATAATATCTATTTACATAACTTGTGATAAAATATAATCATCAAGTTTTGAGGAGATAGTTATTTCAAGATATATGGTTTATTAGAAATTGTTGATCAATTTTATATATACAATACAGTTGAAAAACATTGATTTTGAGTTTTAAGCTGAGAAACAATTTTACAAAAAATTTATTAACATATTTTCGCTAATAATATGATCATTTGTCAAGGTTGCAATACATCTTTTAACACCCTGCATTTGGCGATTGTCATGTTACATCAGTTAGTAATTAAATCGAAAAAGTTAAATATTAACTGATAAAAATCATTGATTATTTTCTTTAGGTAAGTCATTGTCCAGCAACGCGTAGGATAGCAGTAGGTAGTCGAAACGGTCAACTCGCCCTGTACGAATTACGAGGTAACGTTAAATGCCAGACAGTAGCAGCTCATTCAGGATCTGTAACCGCACTAGCATTTTCACCCGAGGGCAAGTTCCTGGTTAGTTATTCTTGTACAGAAAACAAGCTATGTTTTTGGCAGGTAAGAACAACTTTTGTTTATAATGATATTTTAATGTAGTTAAATTATTATAACATACTAGTTGCATCTTCATTGGAAATATTCAACATTTTTCAGCAAACAAGTAGCGGTATGTTTGGTCTAGGAAATTCACAAACACGTTGTGTTAAGTCATACAGTACCGCGCCGATTAATGATGTAGCGCGTTTAAATCCTATGCGACTAGCTAAACTGATATGGATAAATAACCGTACGGTTACGTTAATGCTTGCTGACGGATCTGAAACACGGTTCAACGTATAAACTGTATACGATTCTGTATATTCTAGTACCGACCAAACAAAAACAAAAAAAAGAACAAACAGTACAGCAATTGGGATCAGTCTACAAGCAGAAACGTGGAATAATTGTAGGCAAAAAAAGAGCCGAAAGTGCCGTCGTGATTGCTGGTGGGTTTGTTGGTACTTAATAGTGCTAGTGGTATCTACCTGGATATGGTTATCATACGGAAGTAAGCTCTATCAGTGACGAGTATTGTTCCACGACGCAGGATATTGTATAACAATCGTCATCAGGCATGATACGGAATTTGTTCCTTTTTAGTCTATTTCTTTCTTCCAATTATATAATTACATTGTTCCATTTCTTTTCTGCGTACAAACACATTCGATTTTTGCATTGTAGTAAACACCAGAAATAGGTTTGAACGTCATCACGCTTTAAGAAGAATGTTCTTTTAATGTTAGCTACATATAATCGTGGATTGCAACTACATCGTTAGTATCTGGTGAATCTAAGGTCAAAATAAAACAAAAAAAAACAATATAAAACGCTTTCATACTGACGAATATATATGATGTGTAACTTGTTGAACATTTCTACGTAAAGCAAATTATGTGTGTATTGTACATTGTGCAACATTATACTATGGCGTGTGTCATTTAGGCCACGTTTGCATATTCCTGAAACCGCGGTATAATGGTTAAAAATAATTGCCATATAAAACCTCGCGGTATGAAGTACATACATGTATATATATATACCAAAAAAAGGAAAATAAGAAAAAATATGAATTGTCGCCCAAGGATTTGTACATACATAATACTTATACTGGCGAATGATAGATAAATATAGTAATTTGTATGGAGAGTTTATTCCGTTTATGTGTAGTGGAACGCTTCAAACGAATTCTTAATTTTCATGGTGTTATTTATACCAATTTTAGCAAGTTAAATGTATTCGCATCTTAAATGAAATTTTTAGCTATACTTCGGAATCTGATCTTAAAAGGCCACTCTGTTGCATGTTTGATATTTACAATTACAAACAGCGAAAGTGCAAATCAGCTATTAAATTCCTGATAAGCGAAAGTGTGATTTCCAAAATAATCATTTCAACTTTCAAAATCCTTCGTAGTTACCTTACAACTTTCATAAGTATTCCATGCGTATACGTTTATGTAATAAATATTTATTTCGTCGTTTAGGATCGAGGAAACGACGGATTGAATCTAATCTGTATAGTGATTCGAACGTAAAGTGTGATTACTGTTATTTTCTCTTTTTAATTAAAATATCTCTAGATTCGTAAACAACAAACGTTACGATAGAGACTATGCTAGATGATATTAAGTTTATTTAGCTTAATTTATTTTCGTTATTTCGAGTCTTATAAATCTAGTACTGTTTTCTGTAAACACGACAAACGCGTACGTGTTGTGTGTACGTATTGATGACTAGACAAATTATGACTCCGTTGTCCAACTTCTTACTGGTGTGGAATGAAGTATGCAATTGTGTGTGCGATCCTTATGTTTCAAATTTGTTATGATCATTATGCATCACACAAAATTACAATTCAATCTTTCAATGAATGAAACATATTTAAATATAATCGGGAATATGTGTCTGAAATCGATAGTAAAATATCTTCAAACATTTATAGCATTTAGGTCATTATATATATATATATATAATTTGGCTTCAATTCGAACATAGTATAATACATAGTAGAGATCCATAAGAATTTATTCAAACAATAGATGAGAAATTAAAACAACATGTAAAACATTATTTTCGTTACTTGCTTGATTAAATTTTAATTCGAAGTGCATAAATACACAATGTAAAGCATCATTTCATTGGTAAGGC